CCCGGATCAGCCCGGCGAGACAAAAACAAAGAAAAAAAGTGAAAAACGCCGAAAATACAAGAAACGAGTGTCTAAACTTGTCTTGAAGCATTAATAAAAAATGCCGGGAGGATGATTTTACCTACAAAAACTGTCCAAGCCTACCTCCTAACTAATCCTTACCCTAATTTTAATTAAATAATCAAAAACATATAAACGCACCGGGCTTTAGCCGTTCCCCAAAAAGAGGAATTGTAAAACCAATCAAGGTAATACTGCACATTTCTGCATAATACTGAACGATGGGAATCAGATTGTATATTCTTCAAATGTCCTGGAACTTATTAGAATTTGTAATAAAAAACAAAAACCAGATTGGTAGTTTAACAAGGCTCGTATCGCACAGGATGCAGTAGCATTGAGCATTTTTTAGTGCACTTCATCTTTTGGGTTAATTTGGTTTAGTAGGTAAAGAAACCAGTGCGGAATCATTTACATGAGCTTAGAATTAGCATTTGATTAGTTGCATGTTTAGTAAATTGGCACTTTACGTGATGAACTGTCCAGTGTGCGAAATTCAATGTTCTCAATGTTCACCGAGAACACTAATAAAATTTTAAGAACATAATTCATTAAAATATGTTCTATATGTGAGAACATTAAATAAATTTTTTTGATATTATACAAATTTAATTTTTCTATATTAAGAACATTAAAAAATTTTTGAGAACGTTGAGGACTAGAAAAATGTTCTCTGTGAGAACATAAAATCAAAATTGAATTTCACACACTGGAACTGTCGGTAATGCGAGCTTTACTTTATAATTTTTATTTTAGTATATAATAAAAATTGATTTTGCTATTTTTAGCTAATTAATCACTATATCTTTATTACTTTACTTGTATATAATTGATTAATTTATTAATTATATAATACAATTTATTAATATTCATGATATCAATACATAAACAATTCTTTACTAATCATCAACATTTTAAGAAAAAATAGAATTAAATTATTTTTACATTATATAAATATAAAGTCTGTATACTGTATAACATTATGATATGTTCTGTTCTTTTCTGTTCAAAAATCTGTGAAATAATATTTTTTCCAGACGACTAAATAAAACCCTTAATAGACTGGGTTAATGTTTTTGTCAGAATTAATATAGGAATTTAATAATATTCGGAAAGTGATTTTTCTATAGGTACAATAGTCAATGTTGTAAACATTGTCATTAGTGAACCTTTTAAATGATTAAATTATCACTCATTTTTTCTTCCACCCTTTTCTATTATTACTTTTACCATAATTTTTAATCAGCATCTCGAAAGCCTTTCGTAGATTTCCGTGCACTTCTTTTAGCACTTTGTTGACTATTTCATATTCAAATCCACGTCCATGTAACCATTTTGCCATAAGTTTTGATTTTTCTTTAACGACTGTATCTTTCCATTCCTTCATCACTTCTTCTTTAGCATCGAATTGTTTATCTCTATCTATAGCCTTTATCTTCACTTTAAAGGCTGAGCTAATTGGTCTATGATCTGATACTTTACATTCATACCTTTCATAATGTTCCTGTATTATCCTTGCCCTTGGTCCTCGATATAATATTCTATCACACCAAGCTGGTATACGCCGTTTTTCTGATGTATCATATTCGTCTCCACCTGGATTATATTTATATGTTGGGTCAAATCTTGGTTCGCCTTCCAAAAAGGAACGTAACCGGAATGAAGGATTTGTTTTTCGTTGTTTAATTAATTGATCATGTGCCAATAATAAATCATAATTTTTCTTTGCGATCGCTTTAAGGACTACTTCGCGTTGCGAATCGATTCGATAATTAAGATCACCACTTAAAAAACAAATTTCATGATCAAAGATCATGGTACCATCACCTCCGTGAGTGAACACATTCTCATAATCATTCCATGCTTCTCTGAAACAAACGGGAAATGTAGTATTTTCTAATATACTGACTACATCTTTGTTTCTCGCTAAAATTTCTTTTTGTCCTGCTGCTAAATGACAATTCACAAAACACATTGATGAATCGTCATATATGAAACGTGTCGCTATCGAACCCTATGGTATTAAAAAATTTGCAAGAACCTTATAAATCTAATAATCGCGAGTGAATTTAGATTATCAAATGCGTTATACCTTATTCCCGTTATAGCCTCCTAGTCCAGTTTTATGCATCGCAGTATGAACCTCTCTTATATTTTCTTTCTCTGTTTTCTTGACAAAAAAACATGAGAACAATCCAAAAAGATTTCCTGTACTGAAAACTTCATATTTGTCACCATTCGATGCATGTTCAACCATCTTCACAAGCTTATCACGCCATTCTTGGGATCGTTTTTCGAGATTCTCTTCAACCTTCGATTGAAGTTTCTTTTTGGACGTCAACATAGTTTCTATAAATTATAAACTAAATAAATATGGAAAATTTTATACTGCAGTACAATATTAATAATACACACTTGCGTTCATTTTTTTTGATTTCAAATCAAAAATTTCCTGGAACCCAATAACAATAATGTCGGGTGACTTTGTACTTGCAAGCCATGATCTCATAAATTTAATGCCATCAGAAGATTTATCCAGATCGTTAGGTTTGCAAGCACCAATATTCCACGAACATATTAAAATTTTGATATCCCTATAATTACAATATGTTCTCTCTCGCAAACACATTTTATCAGCTTGTAAAAAATAAATGATATTTTAGTTTAGATTTGTAATCTAATTGATAATTAAATGCTTACCAATCCAATCCTGTTCCATCAACCCATCCCAAGAAATAATTGCTCCCTCAGAACTACAACTTGCAACCTGTAGTCGACCAACTCTCCATAATCCCTCTT